GGATACAACTAGTGCTCTACTCTGAATTACATGGATACAAATTACATGGATACAACTAGTGCTCGCTATACTCTGAGTTACATGGATACAGCTAGTGCTATACACTGAATTACATGGATACAACTAGTGCTCTACTCTGAATTACATGGATACAACTAGTGCTCTACTCTGAATTACATGGATACAACTAGTGCTATACTCTGAATTACATGGATACAACTAGTTCTCTACTCTGAATTACATAAAAATGGGAAGAAAGAAGTTGAACTTGTAAATGACAAGTTATCATGAAATAACAGAATGAATATGTATTAAAATCATAGATTATGTGAGGCTGACCTTTAAATCATGAGTGACTTCTTGGTCTCATGTAGCAAGTAATGTATAGTTTAGAAAAACACGTGTAATGTTATGTTTCTTTATATAATAGTTATGTTTTAATTTAAACATGTGTCTGTTTATGTGCAATCTATGTACACACACACACACACACACACACATAGAGAGAGAGAGAGCTTGATTTTCAGTTGATAAGGTAACGACTGAAAAGTCATTTGTTTGTATTGCAAACATTCCAAAACTTGACCTAACTAAGACCCTGAAAAGCTACATGTAGTTTATAGGATTGGTAAGATGTTATTGTAGTTTCTTTAACCATTCACATGCTATTATCAGACTTATTCCACTTGACATTTATAGCTGTTTGGTGTGACAAGAGGATTTACCCCATGGTGTCACAAAACATTTTCCTCATAGTGTGACGGTTGGGGAACTTGCACATCATTGAATTTCCTGCCTTAGTACCTCGCATGTGTACATCACTGAGCAAAAGTGCAACTAGTGGATTTTGCTAGAAATTTTGAAAAAGTACTTCATTTGTTAATGGATAATTGATGCTTTTCGAGCACCCACCCAAAATTTAATTACACACTCAAAGGGTTAAAATATTTGTAATTAATCGTAATTTTCAAGTCACTCGAAGTTTATGTTGAATACTCTGTATTTTGTAATTAAACATTTTGTTTATAATCGATACTTGTTTATCTTTCTTCAGAAAGTGCTAATAACTGATATTTTTCATCAGCTATGATAAAAACTGGATAGCAGCAAATCATATTTCTGTGAAGACAAATGCTTTAATGATTTTAAAATATTCTTAGTTTTATATACTTGTCTTTTTAAATTCAATTGCTTGTTGTGTAACATATTATTTATTTGTGAATGTGTAGTTGACAACATAATAATTACAACAGACTCTAAAGCAGTTTTTTGTGTGTATGTTACAGGAGGACCAGTACAGAGCTGCAGCCATCCGTGCTCTTTGTAAAATCACAGATGTAAGTTTGAAATATTTTTTTTACTATATACAAATTGCCAGCTGTAAAAAGAACCCTAAACTTTCTTCATAGTTAATAGAACGTGCCTTCTTTACTTTAAAACAATAATTTCTTGTTGAAAGGTATCGTATGTTGGCGAATTTCTGCTTTTGATGGAACAGATTACTTTTGGTTTCTTATCTTGGGTGTTTTTGGAAACACAAGTATCTGCTTGAGTAGGACAATGAGTCTTGTTGATTTTCTATCCTGGGACAGCTCTATTCAAAATATAGCAGACAACAATCAGAGGCCTTTGTCATATCAATACCCAGAGTAACAGAATATAGTAGAAAGAAACCTGAGGCCTTTGTCCTGTCAGGCCCATGGATAACAGAATATAGCAGACAACAATCAGAGGCCTTTGTCATATCAATACCCAGAGTAACAGAATATAGTAGAAAGAAACCTGAGGCCTTTGTCCTGTCAGGCCCATGGATAACAGAATATAGTAGAAAGAAACCCGAGGCCTTTGTCCTGTCAGGCCCATGGATAACAGAATATAGCAGACAAGAAACCCGAGGCCTTTTGTCCTGTCAGG